GACATAGACATATTCTGTTACTTTCAACAATTATACATGAACATCTTCTATTTTAATAATGCCTAACTAGAGGCAGGTGCTATGGCATAGTGGGCTAAGCCTCCACCTGCAGCACCGCCAACATCCCATATGGTCCCCAGTTCAAGTCCCAGCTGCTCCTCTTCCGATCCAACTCTCTGTTGTGGCCTGAGAAAGTGGCGGAAGATGGCCCAACTGCTTGGTCCTCTGCACCTGCATGGAAGACCCAGAGGAGGCTCCTGGCTCCTGGCTTCAGATTAGCTCAGCTCTGGCCTTTGAGGGCATTTGTGGAGTGAACCAGCAGATGGAAGACTTTTGTCTGTGTCTCCCCCTCTTTCTTTAACTCTCTCTCAAATAAGTAAAAAAATCTTTTTTAAAAATGATGCATAACTAGTAGTAGCAATAGTAAATGGCTCCTAGTTTCAAAGGGTAAGACATTGAGTGGCAAACCATGCATATTATATCCATAATAAGCATTTCTAAATTTAAATAATACATATACTTTTTTCAATTTAGAAATAAATGTTGAGTATTTGGGCAGAATATAAGAAAAGAAATTTGTAACAGCTTCTGGCTATATCTCTAGTTACTCATCATTATTTGTTGTTGTTTTTGTTATCAAGTGCCTTTTATTCAGTTATGACAAACTGTGTATTTTCTTTTTTTATTTATATTTTATTTTATTTAATGAACATAAATTTCCAAAGTGCAGCTTATGGATACAATAGCTTCCCCCCCCGTAACTTCCCTCCCACCCACAACACTCCCCTCTCCTACTCCCTCTCCCCTTCCATTCACATCAAGATTAATTTTCAATTATCTTTATATACAGAAGATCAATTTAGCATATATGAAGTAAAGATTTCAACAGTTTGCACCCACACAGAAACACAAAGTGTAAAATACTATTTGAGTACTAGTTATAGCATTAATTAAACACCTAAGAGTAATTGTGTATTAATTACAGAGTTCAACCAATAGTTTTAAGCAGAACATAAAAAATACTAAAAGGGTAAAGTATTAAGTTCTTTTTTTTCTGTTTCTTTTTGTTTGTTTGTTTGTTATATAGTTATTTTTTTATTTAATAAATGTGAATTTACAAAGTGCAGCTTTTGTATTGTTGTGGCTTCCCCCCCCACAACCTCCCTCCCTCCCGTGGCCCTCCCCTCTCCCACTCCCTCTCCCATCCCATTCTTCATCGAGTTTCATTTTCAGTTACCTTCATATACTGAAGATCAACTTAGTATATACTAAGCAAGGATTTCAACAGGCTGCACTCACACAACCGCACAAGGTATAGGGTATTGTTCTACTAGTAGTGTTGTTCTTAAGTTTCATAGTAGAACACATTAAGGACAGAGATCCTACACGGGGAGCATGTACCCAGTGACTCCCGTTGTTAATTTAACAATTGGCACTCTTATTTATGACGTCAGCAATCACCCAAGACTCTTGCTATGAGCTGTCTAGGCTATGGAAGCCCCTTGAGTTCACCGACTCTGAACTTGTTTGGTCAAGGCCATATCACAGTGGAGGTTCCTTCCTCCCTTCAGAGAAAGGCGCCTCTCTCCTTGATGGCCTGTTCCTTCTGCTGGGGTCTTGTTCACCAGGATCTTTCATTCAGATTGTTTTTTGCCACCGTGTCATGGCTTTCCATGCCTGTGAGACTCTCATGGACCTTTTAGCCAGATCCTATTGTCCAAGGACAAACTGTGTATTTTCAAAAGTTCTCTGAGGGTTTTTTTTTTTTCATTTTTATTAGTACAAAGAGAACAGATTTCCTGTTCTTTGAGGGTCCCTGACCTGCTGTAGAATAAGTCAGAAGGTGTGTAGTGCATGGTCTGGTAAAAGAGACATTGAGATTTCCTGGTGGAAATCTCTCAGACTCCTCTGCTGGTCTTCCCAGGCTGTGAGCCAGGAGGAGCAGTCTGGGAATCCCTGCTGTGGATCCTGCTGCTGAGCACTGGCTGGATAGGAGAGCACAAGGAGCTGTTCTTATAACAGAGCTCTGGACCCTCCCCCTTCCCCAGGGAAATATATTCCTCCGGAGTGTGGCAGGCTGCCTTCTTTCTGAGTGTGGATTCCTTTAACATCGGGTGTGGTTACTGGCAACAAAAAGACCGAGAGGAAAATCTTAGAGCAATTACAAAAGGCACAGCAGTCCTAGGTAATCTGGATGTATTCACATAACTCACTCTATGCTAGGACTTTCAAAGCGTGAACTAAGTGAATCAGTTAAGATGAAGGCTTGAGAAATCTACCCCACCCCATTCCCAGGGTAAATATATTTTACTGCCCTGTGCAAGTCTCTGAAGGGCATCCTAAATGTCTTCTCCTTCAGGATGAGTGGAACCTCCACTGGCAGGAGTCAGATTTCAGAGACCTCACAGCTGCTAAAATGTCAGAGCTGAGAGCCCAAAATTGTCTTTCCCTCCTGGCCTGAAACAAGTTGTTCACCTGCTTGGGAAAAGCACAGACTTGAGAGGCAATTCTCTGAGTACAGATAATGGTGAGCACGAAGGGTATCCTGGATGGAAAATTTGAAATTCATAATTAGTTCATATATAAGGTTTTCCATAAAGATCTAGAGCTCATTCTCACTGGTTACAAAAGAAAGAAATATGTATTTCTTTTCTTATGACTGATATAAAATGCAATATGTATACCACCTGGGATAGAAAAGTACATGCCAAGCTAGAATTATTTTTAAACATATAAGTATTTCCATGCAATTTGAGCCATTTGTTGTACACCTACTATATACCATAAACCACACCAGGTGCTGCCAGGACACAAATAAGAAAAAGATTTAATCCTTATCCCAAAGGAGCTTTTAGTATAATAGAAGGCATATCTATCATCCGTTGCCACAGTAAAGCTGTGTAACAAATCACCCTGAAGCTTAGTGGCTTAAAAGAGTTGGTTTTTCTAGCTCAGGCATCTGCATTTCATCTAGGCGTTGGTTCAATCAAGGTGGACTGGACTGAGCTTGGCTCTGAACTGCAAGTTGAGGCCAGTTCTGTCTATAGAACTGTCTATAGAACTATAGAATACTGTAGTTCTGTCATCCTAAGAGTATTCATTCACCCACCAGCCCTGCTCTTCTCATGGTGATAGCAGACAATGAAGAGTTCAAGGCCAACTACACCCATGGCTTTCCTCTAACACTCACTCATTAAGGCAAGTCACACGGCGATGCCCCACACCACTAGACTGAGATTCATACTTCATACTCTACCTAGGGAGAACTGTGATGTTACTTGACAGTGGACCTGAGAGTATAGACAAGGGCACACATTTGAGAATAATAATACATTTAATCATATTATAAAAAGATAAATTACTAAAAAATCTGTATAAAAGAAGGATATTTTTTGAAAAGGAATAGATGTTATCTGAAGGACACCAGGAAAATATTCTTAGAGCTGTTAGCATTTGCACTCAGTCATAAAAGGTTTTTGTGTTTCAAGAAGCAAACACGGGGTAGGGGAGCATGGCAATATCTCAAAATGCTCCATAAAAGAAGTGTGGAGAGGTATCAGTCATTTGAAGAGTTAGTTTATAAAGAACTAAAGAAAAAAAAATCACATCAATGGAAAAAATTGATCTTTCTTATACAAAATTGCAAATGGATACTCAGCAGAGGTGTCCTCATATCAGAATTCTAGTTCCATGTTACTGTGCAAAGATGATACGGTATGACTTCATTCCAGGACATGAAATATTCTACAAGGGTAGCGTTTTTCTTTAGGTCTTTAGGATTATAACTAGAGCTGGAAATGATTTAAAAATTACCTAGTTAAAATGGCTTATTTTAGAGATAAAGAAATTTGAATTTTGGAAGTATGTTCTCTATCTTTCTTACTCTCTCCATTATATATAAAATCTATGAATATACTTGTGTATTTATAGAGCAAATTTATCTATGAAAGTAGATAGATTTCTTCCTGAACAAATCTATATGTGTAAAATCTTTGTATATAATATATAAATATATTATAGAGAGAGACACTAACCTTTGTCTCATGTATTGAGACAGCGAGAGAGAGGAAATGTGCATACTTCATGAATGAATCTAATAAAGAAGCTTTAATACTTTATAAACTTAAAGACTGCTTGTCTCCTTATCAAGTGATCCTCCTGGTTCCAAAAACTGAATATGATTCAAGTGCCAGTGGAGGTTCTTAATAAGATATTCAAGAACTGGCAATACTGCTGGAAGTACTTGGGGTGGCAGAGGAAGTGGGTGGCCCCCCTACCCTGGGGCACTGTTCAGCAAATATAAAGGGTCCAGAAGCTGGGGGACAGCAGAGGGGGGGGGGTCTCACAACAAGCACTCCCCACACCCACTTACGAGGCTTCCTGTCTTCTGTAACTCATCGCCGTCGTTGGTAAATAAAACATAACCCTCCACCTCACTACCCCACCACTAGAAAAAGATCCGTTTCTGTATCTTATATGGAAGGTTTCTCCCAGAATAGAAACGACGAAACTTGGAAGTTGTGCCCTTTTAAGTGGACACTATTAATGCAGACTGGAAGTCAGCACACTATGGCGCGAGGGGATTTGTGGCAGTGGCCTCTCCAGCTAGTCTGCTTTCATAAAACCAGTTTTACTGACAGAGCCACGTGCCTGCCTTTACACGTGGTTTACGGCAGCACCTGCACCGCTGTGGCAGCTTTGGCTCAATGCAGAGGAGACAGAGCCCACACAGTCGGCAAAGCTTCAGATATTTAATATCTGGCCCCGTGCATGACATTTTGCTCACCCTGGCGTGAGTTGTAGGGAACTTGCTGGGTTATGGGGATCAGGTGACACTTGCTCATGCACCTGCGTATGGGGAGGACCTCAGCAGGAGTCTGCCTGGGAGGAGGCCATGGGTGGAATGAGGGTGCTGCCCCCTGTGACGGGCCTCTCTCCTCTTCCTGCCCAGGGCTCTGCCAAGGTCACCATCCTAACCTGTGCTCTCTGTCCTTTGCCAGACTCCGACCTGAGCATGCGCACACTGAGCACGCCCAGCCCAGCTCTGATATGTCCACCGACTCTGCCAGGATTTCAGAATGGAAGAGGCTCGTCCACCTCCTCGTCCTCCGTCACCGGGGAGACAGTGGCCATGGTCCACTCCCCGCCGCCGACCCGCCTCACGCATCCACTCATCCGGCTGGCATCGCGGCCGCAGAAGGAGCAGGCCAGCATCGACCGGCTCCCGGACCAGTGCATGGTGCACGTCTTCTCCTTCCTGCCCACCAACCAGCTGTGCCGGTGCGCGCGCGTCTGCCGCCGCTGGTACAACCTGGCCTGGGACCCGCGCCTCTGGAGGACTATCCGCCTGACGGGCGAGACCATCCACGTGGACCGCGCCCTCAAAGTGCTGACCCGCAGGCTGTGCCAGGACACCCCCAACGTCTGTCTCATGCTGGAAACCGTGACTGTCAATGGCTGCAAGCGGCTCACAGACCGCGGCCTTTACACCATCGCTCAGTGCTGCCCCGAACTGAGACGACTGGAAGTCTCGGGCTGTTACAACATCTCCAACGAGGCCGTCTTCGACGTGGTGTCTCTCTGCCCCAACCTGGAGCACCTGGATGTGTCAGGTAAATGGAGAGTGATCCCAGCCGTGGGCCTTCCCAATGCACCACCCCAAAGCAGTAGAGACGTTGCCTCCCCCAGAGGGCCCCTTTCTTGCTGACCATTAAAGAGAGAGGCTGGGCGTTAGCTCGCTGTCCCTGAGCATCTCTCTCCATGGAAGGCTGACATCAGGAGCCAGAAATATCCTTTTCATCAAGCCATGTCAGCTCCTACCTGGCCGTTCAGGTCAGAATGACTTTGAAAAGTGTCGTCATTCTTTGCAATTCTCAGTTGTTTCAGAGAAAACATAGATAATGGGGACCAAATATCTAAGTGACAATAAATAGGAACCTAGTAGGTAACTCAGACACAGTCAAGTTGGAAACTACCCTCTGTCCACCTGTTACTGGTCTACAGAGCCTGACAGCAGTTTCTGAGCAGTGACAGTGACACCGTGTGTGTCTGTGCTGTCAACCTGACCGTGCCTGCTGTGGACGATGAAGCACTCATCTGTGGGCTGACCTCACCATGGCCATTTTGCAGATATTAGGAGCAATCTGTCTTAGGCAAAGTATCTCCTTTTGTTTCAGCCCCATCCTCTCTGTTGAGTTAATTTGGTATCTTCTGTTAAGCAAAATTCTCCATGACTTAGTGCAAGGGCATGAGCTGTTGCATCCAAACTTTAGTCCTGTCTCAAAATGGAAGGAAATCCCAACATGGCCACTTCATTTGAAAACGCATCTGAGGCAGGAAGAATTAAAGCCCAGACTGACACTTTGGCGCCAGACAGGAATCCAGCAGCACTAGCAGCCTTTCTTTATCTCATCTGTGCACAGTCAAAAGGCGAGCACTGGAGAGGCTGAGTCGTGTAAGATGCAGCAGGGAGTTAAAGAAATGATCAGCATGAGCCGCAGCCTCTGGGAGTGTTGGGGAGGGCACGAAGTAGAAACCATGATGACGGGCAAATAAACAGAATTTGGGATTTACAAGCATCTGAGGTGAATGATGCCCTCCTACAGAATCTGAGGTCAAGCCGGCGTCTCACTTGCTCTCGCTTTCCAAAGCTGACATCTGAGAATATTTCAGACGCAGTCCATTATTTTTTGCAGATCCTTTCTCTTGCTGGAAAGCAGATCACGGCTCCTCTCCTTCAGCTGGCTTCAGGACAAAGCCATAGTAATCATGTGTGCAGTTAGTCATGAGCAGCCGCTGGCATGAAGAAGTAGGAAACCAAGGGGATTCTTACATTTTTCCTCTGAGGAATTCTGGAAAGAAAGCATTATGATGTGGTAGAAATAAGTTTCAAAACATTGTGATTTGGGACAATTCACAGCTTTTTCTGGATGTGTTTCCTCATTAGTAAAAAAAAATTAAAAAGCGAAGAACTGTACTCTTTAGCATTCTAAGAGCCTAAGCATTTTATAAACAACTCATTTTAATGTATTCATCAGCTTAGGAAATAATTCATGTTTGGAATCCCCATCTTTACCAGGGGGACTCTGAGTTATTTGTGTCCTCTCTTTGGAGTCATTTTGAAATTCAGAAATCTAGAAGGCACTTTTGGTATTTGGAATGGAAATTCTGAGGCTGCAAGCCTGAGTAATCTCACTTGACTCCTTGACTGGCCATTACTAAGCCTCTATATCAACTTAATGAGTTTGCAGATTCAAATGTATTTGTGTAGTATATCTCTCAGCCACCCTGTGATCTGTATACACAGAGACTGAAACAAGGGGACTCTGTAGCTTGTCCACAGATCACAGAATCCCAGATTCAGGTAAATGGATTTGAGAGACTCCTCAGTTCATAGGATTTGTCATGAGCACCTCCTACCAGCACCCTCTAGTTCTAAGGGAGTGAGAAGTGTTATGCTGATACCACTAGAGGCCAGAGGACTACCAAAGTTGCTTTCACTCTCCTTGCTCTCCTTTGTTTCACTACTGGTCCCTGATAGAAGCTACCTCCTCAGTGGTAGTAAACTTGACTTTCGAAGACTCATCACTGGCTTGGAACTTAATTTTACCAGAGGGCAGGAATGTGCCTATCCCACCTCAGCAATGAGGAATACACCCAAGTTGAAAGCTGTCTGTTCAAGTCATTGAAAATCACTACAACTAGCTGTATGCAGTCTTTTATCATTATCACAAATTACCTTTTATTAATAGTGTTTTTAATCATCAATGGGATACATTGAAACTAAACAACTTTCAAAATATAAAATAGTATAGTTGCTTTTAACGAAATAGCTTCAAACAGATCCTCTCCAGCTAGAGATCTAGGAGTCAACCTTGCTTTCATGCCTCAGATTTTGTACCCAACCATGCGAATTCTGTCCTGGTGATTCTTCTTCCCCATCACCTTGACCCCATCCTCTCCCTTCTTCACAAGCCATTCTCTTCAGAGCCACCTCAAACCACTTCCTCAGGAATTTTTCCAAACCACAAATCTTAACCTTCACTTTCCCATGTAGGATCTCCATTTGCTCCCCATGTCCTACAGGAAAAATTCAAGTTCTCAGCAGAGCACACAGCCCCTTATAATATGACCTTTCCAAGCTCAAAGCTCATCCCTTTGCTGTGTGTACTTGATGCTCCTTTTTATGGAACCATCTGCATCTACCCATACACATCACATATGTGTATGCAGTGATGTGTGGGTGCCTCTGTGGCTTGTATGCCACTCCCTCTTTTATCTTTGACCATCCCAACAACTCTTTGAACAGATGTCTCACCACCCAAATCCTGGATATAGCTTCCCTACCTCGCTCCTGGTGAGCTAAGTGGATCTGCCTTATGACTGCACAGGTGGAGCATCACTGGAGTTTGTAATTGGATACTTGTCTATTTCCAAACTCCTTTCTCTCAGCCCATTATAAGTTTTATATGGGAATATCTTATTTTTATGCTTGTTTTTTAGGAGAAATTTCATTTTTAATTTTCGTTTGTTTTCATTTTATTTGAAAGCTAGAGAATCAAACAGAGACATTTCAACTGCTGGTTCAATCCCTAAATGCCCACAACAACCAGAGCTGAACCCTGCCAAAGCCAGAAGGCTGGAACTCCATCTGGGTCTTTTCCTGGGTTGCAGCGGTATAGCCGGGACTGGAAACAGGCACTCCAACATGGCAGCAAGTGTCCAAATTGGTAATATAACCAATGTGCTAAATGCCTGCCCCATATTTTTAAATTTTGATATTATAATTAAGTGAAAACAGGAGGGTCAAAGCCATTATAAGTGACCATCATGGCCTCTGAAGTTTCCCTCAAAGTTATCATTGGCTGATATTCTAAGCCAGTATTTAGGAAGCTGAAATGCAATATTTAAATTCCCTCGCTAGTAAAAATGAGGTGGCTGGAAGGATTAACTGAGTTAGTACATTAAGTCATCACATGCACACCCTGCTGAGACCCATGTGGTAAGCACTCAATCAAGCCCAGCTGTTGTTGCTGTATCATCATGGTTACTAACAGGCTTGCAAGCCAGTAGTTGTTCTTCATGCCCTTGGCCACTGTACACCCCACAGGTATGACTCCAGCAATGAATGGATGTGGTACTGAGGAACAGGTCTGTGAACACTGAATGAAATCTGAAATTAACTGAAGAAACCCCACAGATTGTGTTCTGCCTTCTACTGACCATCTCCCATTGAATAATACTCATCTGCTTTATCATACACGTTAACACAGGTCCAGGATCTGATCCCAACAGAACATTCTTGTCTTAGTTTCCATCAAATCCTTTCAGACACCCTAAGTTCCACCCCATGGGCACTTGCCACCCCCCATGGACTTTCTCCATATTTGTTCCTTTCAGGTTTGTCTCAATAATATCTCATTACTTGGGCTCCACCTACATGTATCCTTATTCTTTTCATTCCACATATACATATGCAATTTTTTGTCCCTTTTAAGGATCCCCTTGGAAATCACACAGAGGGATCTGAAATGAGGCACTTCAAAGACTTCCAAGTCTCCAGTGAGGCCACTACTGCTTACACACTCACTGCAATTACCCTCTCTATCTAGTTCATCATCCTAGCCATTCCTTAAGCTCCTCTCCTATAATTAAAGCGTCAGCTACAAGTGAAGAAATGTATCTCCATTCTTAGTGTGCAGGTCAGCTAATTTCACTGAATCAGCAATGTCTTATCTATGAAAAATGAAGGATAGAGGTGGGTGTTTGGCTGAGTGGTTAAGAAACCAGTTGGAAGGCTGGGTGATGCAATGCAGTGTGTAAAGCCACCACTTGGAAAACTCCCATCCCATAGCATGGCTACTCATATTCTGATCCAGCTCTCTGCTAATGCTCCTGGGATGCAACAGATGTATCTCAAGTACTTGAGTGATACCTCAAGTGCTTGAGTTCCTGCCACCCATGTGGGAGACACTGATGGAGTTCCTGGCTCCTGGCTTCACCCTAGAGCCTCAGCTGTTGTGGGCATTTGGAGAGTGAACCAACAAATGGAGGATATTTCCCTTTCTCTCTCTCTTTCTGCCATTTAAAGAAAGAAAGAAAGCAATTTTGTTTCTAAAAGATGCCAGTTAGATGCCCTCATCCCATAGTAGAGTGCCTGTGTTCAATACCTTACCCCACTCCTGACTCCAGCTTCCTGCTAATGCACACCCTGGTGATAGTTGAAGTCATTTGCTTTCCTGACACCAATGTGGACAATCTGGATTGAGTTCCTTGTTCCTAGCTTTGGCACCAGCTGTGGGCCTCAGAAGGTATTTGGGGGATAAACCTTAAGATAGAATCCCCTTCTCTCTCTCTGCCCCTCAATATGTACATACTTATATTAAATGGGGATTAAATTGGATGATTTCTAGTATTCTATGTCTGTAATGTCTAAAATAATACAAGGTTATCAAAATGATTTGCTGAATCTGTGCTAAAGAAATATTTCATTCAATTTGTAACTCAATGTCAAAGCCAAGGCTTAAATTTCCTTACACCAAATACAATATCTTTCATGGCATGCAAGGGATTTTGCTATATATTAAATAATAAACAGATAAAAGTAACTCAATCCAGGAGTTGAGAATCAAAAGCTATCATATGAGCTGGTAACAAAGTACCTTCATGTACATCATAGACTGTTACTATAGTATATAAAGTCAGGATAGGCAAGATTATAGTCAGCCTAGAAAAAAGACCCAAAGCAAATGAAGATTTCAAAACTAAACTTGAGGGGTACAAGCTGTGTTTTACAAAATCATGGAGCCTACCTTTTGCAGTGTGACCAACCCCCAATAAGTTGCATCTCTTTCCCTGAATCATAGTGCATGCTTCACTCCTTCCTAAAATTCTTTGCCTTGGTAGCGTGTGCCTTTTGAACCTTATTATTCCCAAAACTGAGTTTTATAAGTTCTTTGGGCCACTGCCAGGAGATTGGAGGAAAGTCTCCTGTTGCACTATTGTACAGCTGCTCAGAAGCCTAGGGTATTGAACTGAATGACCATGGTACAGAGGTGTTTGAAGTGAGGCACTTGGCTTTAGAACAGCCAGAGGATTCAAGACAAACAGAGAGAAAATGAGAAATAGACACACAATCTATATAATGGGATATATATATATTTCATTCCACTACATATTGTATAATATAGGTGTATTATGTATAATATGTTTATATAATATGTTTATAATACACACATGTATTATAATTGTTTATATAATGCATAGACAATATATTTAAATACTATAAAAATACTGCACATATAAATAAATACACACTGCACCAAAATATGCAATGAAATGTTTCACATGTTATATATAATATAATATAGATAAATTATGTATAATACACAGTAAAGTTTATTAATACATATATTTTTAGGAGATTAGAAACTATGTTTTAGAGAGAGACATATCAAGGTATCTTCCTGATCATTAATATCTTTGCCTATAAAATGGATTGTTTTAAGAATCAGGTAAGAGGTTGTTTATAAAAGTATTTGTAAGCTTCATAATTCAAGAGATAAAAATATTAGAATTAACTATAAAATAGCTGTTTTTCAAATGGCAATATTTCATTCTATGTCAAAGTCTTGAAGAATTTAAATGGTAGAACTGAATATCCCATGTTGCCTTCCCGTGGAAGGCTGTCAACCTCTGTAAGTCACCCATTCATTCCACAGACATTCTGTGAGCACCACCTAGCACAGACACAGCAATGAACAGCCCAAAGTCCTATTGCTCAAGAATTTATATTCCAGAGTGAACAGCAAATAGATAAGTGAGAAAATACATATGCAATGCCACTGAGTGATAAAGAGGGCTGAGAACAAACAAGAGATGGGACTGGAGATTCTAGTATTCTGTATAAATACAAGGTAGTCAGGGAAGAGGTGCTTGGCAAACGGACATTGGTGTTGGAACTAAGAAAGTGAGTTGAACCCAGGGGCTCTATGGAGAACGTCTTTCCAGTGCTCTGAAGCCAGAGACCCCTCGAGGAGTCTAGAAGAGAGGAAGGAGCCATAGGGGTTGGAAGAGTGGCATAGGAGATGAGGGCAGAGAGCACAGGGGTGCAGTTCATCACTGAAGGCCTCATTAGATTCTAGATGTTACATTTGGTGAGACAGATGCCACCAAAGGCATGGTGACAAGATTTGAGTTCCATTTTCTAAGACCCCTGTGGCAGATGTGTTCAAAATGAACCACAGGGCAGAGACCAGTTGATGAGATAGTGCAACAATCCCAGGGACACTGATGGTCTTCCTTGGCCAAGAAGAGGTGAATTGAATTCACATATAATTAGACTAACAGCCACATGCAATTCTTGTAGAGTTTTCAAAGTGCATTCATCGCTATGATCTCTCTGCATCCTCATATATGTCTGCAGTGGAGGCTTATCAACTATTCATCTCCAGGAGGCAAGTCTTGAGATGCAGAAAAATTAAGCCCCCTGTCTGAGGCCATAAAAAGTATACTGGAACTCAGCATGACTCCCAAATCAGAGTTCTTTCTGTGAAACCAAGGCCGTGCCCACCCTTTCTCTCTCATATCTCAGATCTGTGAATCAAGGAGCCACTAGATCATTGCAGAGTGGGAATGAAACTTTTGAGTTTCTGGACATTTCAGGGCCAAGGTACGAATTTTGCATGCATAGTCTCATTTCTTCTTCATAGTTACCTTGCAAGAAACATGCTCATTCCCATTCTAAAACAAAGAACTTCTCAGAAAGATTGATTTGCCCCACGTTATGTAAGTAATGATAGATCAGGAATTGGAACCTTGATCTTTCTTATTATAGAGCTTGTGAATCCCCTTAAACCAAACAAGCCAAATGGTTAAATAAAGAAATGAACATGGGGGAACTCACTGCTGATTTTCTTTTATGTAGGGGCCAAGACAGACGGTCCAGAGTTGGTACCCAGACTTGGGGGGAGGAATGCGAAAGAGTCCTGGCATCCCAGGGCGTCCCCGTTCTCTCAAGCTGCTCTGAGCATGTGTTCCATCTCTTTGCATAGGGTGCTCCAAGGTGACCTGCATCAGCTTGACTCGGGAGGCCTCCATTAAACTGTCCCCCTTGCATGGCAAACAGATATCCATTCGCTACCTGGACATGACGGACTGCTTCGTGCTGGAGGACGAAGGCCTGCACACCATCGCTGCGCACTGCACGCAGCTGACCCACCTGTACCTGCGCCGCTGCGTCCGCCTCACGGACGAGGGCCTCCGCTACCTGGTGATCTACTGCACCTCCATCAAGGAGCTGAGCGTCAGCGACTGCCGCTTCGTCAGCGACTTTGGCCTGCGGGAGATCGCCAAGCTGGAGTCCCGCCTGCGGTACCTCAGCATCGCCCACTGCGGCCGCATCACCGACGTGGGCATCCGCTATGTGGCCAAGTACTGCAGCAAATTGCGCTACCTCAATGCGAGGGGCTGCGAGGGCATCACGGACCACGGCGTGGAGTACCTCGCCAAGAACTGCACAAAACTCAAGTCTTTGGACATCGGCAAATGCCCTTTGGTCTCCGACACGGGCCTGGAGTGCCTGGCCCTGAACTGCTTCAACCTCAAGCGGCTCAGCCTCAAGTCCTGCGAGAGCATCACCGGCCAGGGCTTGCAGATCGTGGCCGCCAACTGCTTTGACCTCCAGATGCTCAACGTCCAGGACTGCGAGGTGTCCGTGGAGGCCCTGAGGTTTGTCAAACGCCACTGCAAGCGCTGTGTCATCGAGCACACCAACCCTGCCTTTTTCTGAAGGGACAGCTTTCTTGCGTTGTTCTCACACAAACGGGAACCCATCAAAATGTTTGTTAAAAGCAGCCTATGTAAGCACCAACACCCACTTATAACGGCTCTTTCTTCCAGGAAGGTTCTTAGGAATCTGGCTTTTGTGTCTCCTAATTTTTCTTGGGCATCAGAGGTCAAAAAGAAAAGAAAAAGAAAAACCTGGGTGGGGAGACAAATTTTAGTTACAGCAAACAGTGTTTTGGGTCAGATTGATTGTAGGAAGTGTCTCTTGTCATCGAAGATGTACCTTAGCAGGCCAACTACAGTGTCTTCAGAAGTGCACCTTACTCATTGTCCCCCACCAACTCCCAAAATTCCACATTCCCTCTCAGTCACTCCCCACCCCTCCCTTCCAACAGCAGCACAACAGGTGTGCCTGATTTCCTCATTAAACAGCTTGATTGGCCTAAACCACACCCTTTAATCTCACACCAGGAAAATTTGGGATAAAGAAATGCCATAGCATGTGGCATTTGCAAAGCACTTTCCAAACCTTTGTCAAAGGCCCACTGTTCCAAGAAGCACGGTAGAAACATAGACCTACCTTCTTCTCCCAGCTCAGCTGCTAACAGGCTATGCAAACTTGGCCAAAGCACTTCAGCTTTCTGTGCTTCTGGCATTGAACTTAAGATCAACTAGATGGAGGATTAGCTCATGTCCATTTCAGAACCCATGGAACAGAGGTGGTTGTAAACAGAAGCACCATGATGTGCAGCACACAAACAAGCTTCCTTTTTCAAGAGGTGATTCTCCTGAAAAGGTGGCAGGGGCTCTGAGGAGACTGCAGTACCAATGTCATTTCACAAAGCTTCCTGCAGGTCCTTCTGCTTCCATCTGAGCCTCCCATGCCCCTGGGCAGTTTCATGGCTGAGCCTATCCCACATTTTCTCATCTGTGCTCCATAGCATGGTTTCTGTGCACAACAGTTTCAGAATCATCTTAGCAAGGCCAGAATGTCTAACCACCACAAAACCCAGATCTCCCCGTCAATTTGATTTTCTCTGAGTATTTTCAAATAGAAGAAAAGACCCTTAAAATTTTTAATCAACAAGGGAGGCCCAAGGGAACACATGTCCTCCAAAGTTTTTCTAATCTCTCGAAGTACACATGTGGCAGGCATCAGGCACATCTGCCCTGCAGCTGGTCCCAGAGACTCCTTCATTCTTTGTCATTCAGATTGCATTTCCACTTTTCTCATCCATTTATTTCTTTATGCATCCAAATTTCAAGTCTGTTGGGGTTAAATCCAGATTTGAAGCCTACCGGGGTTAAATTTTTGTTTAATTGTGCAAATTGCCACCTTGTGTGCCTCCCCCACAGCTGTCTGCAAGTTTCCCATCAAAGAATGCCAAGCAGATTTATTTCCAGGTGTAAGTGATGCTCACTCAGAAATGCCAAATGGAAGTGACAACACATTAATAAGGCTGAGATGCCAGTCCAGCAACCAAGCCCTTGAAATAGAACATGAAAATCATTACAAAATACAAATGTTAAGTGGATGGAATTTTAAATGAACCTATTTGGATAGAGAGCTCTTACTAGTCTCATTTGTATGAAATCGGGTGGCCAGAATAAATTCCATTGCTAGTCTTTACAAAATTCAGTTGTCTTGTCTTAGGAAACACATGACTTTTTTCAAATTATTCTCCAGCCATGCCCCCTCCCTCCTTAACAGTTCCCCTAACCCAGCCCAAAACCTCTGTATCTCCAAGACAAGTGTATCCGATTTGTTTCAGACCAAGCAAACACTGTTCGACAACTGCACTCCCACTGTAGGCTCCTGTGCACGCTGTCCTCTGTTGGAAAGGAGGAATTAGAGTGATGATGTGACATCTGGCCTGGAGGTTTCTTTCATCCATCATGTAAAAACCACAGACTCCTGTCCACTCAACTTCACCATCAGCTTAGATGTGCAATCAAAACTCTGCCATGGAGAAAACCAGTTTGGCTAGGGATAGGATCTAGTGATAGCCACAGAGCTTAGAACCATGAAGGAAGCTGAAGGCAGCATTCCTCTGCTCTGTGACTGGTGATCCTATTGGAAGTTTCAGAATGTGAGAATCACAAAGGACTGTCCTCAGCCCCCAGCACTAGGACATCCAAGTGAGCCACTTGAATGCTCCCAGAAGACACGCGATGGCTCCCTGAACCATTCTGAATATCTTTATTGCCACCGCCTGATCACATCACCTAAGCAGTCTTCCAACTATGAGACTAGGCAGATTTTTCACACTGATTGCTCAGCAGATATTGTCTTTCCAACTTTCTCCATTGTTTCCCTGCCCCTCCACTCTCCTCTTCATCCATTCTGCTCTTCCTTGGGGTGTGAATCTGTGACAGAGGTTATTGGGAAACAGCTCAGCAGAATTTTAGAGACCAAGAAAAAAAAAAGCCTCACTAGGAAATGTATCTGTTTTAAAACATTTGCTTCCTTCCTGGCTCTGCTAAATTGAATGCTCATCGTTTTTGTAATTCTAATGTGCAAATCACTGCGTGCTGTATGACTCTAGAAAGCCTTAATTTACTACCACCAAGAAATAAAGCAATATGTTGGTAATCAGGCTCAGCTTCATTTTTCAAACCCTTGCCAGAGGAGAGTGGTGTTCATGGAGGAACATTCAAAAGAGAGCAGGAAACTTGCTATACATTACAAGATGGAGCAGGCAGGGTCACTGCCACTGTGTCCCTTTTAAAGTGGTATCCATGGTTTTGTCATCTGCCTTGGACCAATGACCTTGGCTTAAAATTGTCAGATAAGTTAAAAAAAAAAAAAAAAAGCAAAAATACAATCACAGTATAGTTAAGGCCTTCAAAGCCTTAACCCAAACTCTTGGTGTCAGGTGCATTTTGAAATTCATCATTTTGCATATTTTAGGAAGTTATCTATCAATGTATGATGAGTTCTCTATCAGACTGAAGGGTAATAATCTTAATCAAATATGCTACTACTTCTGCAGCACTAGATATGACATGCCACACTAAGTAAGGATATTACTGACTTGCACCTGGAAGGAGATTATGGCAATTTGACCTTAAAAGAAAAGTTGTCAGGCAGATGGAAAAAAAGTGAAAAGTCAAATGCCTACTTCTCATCCAGACCGACCTGAGAAATCAATATGGTGACAAGCAAGTACAGATTGATGAGTGGAGAACTTCATCCTTAGCTGGTGAAAAGTTTTAAGAGATGTTAATTTTAAATGTATTTGTCCTGGAACTTCTCCCCCTGGGCCAGCTGCTTTAGCAATTTTCACATGAACCCATGGAACTGCTAATTGCCTTAAGACATTAATTTGAGGTAACCCCATGAAACTGATGACAAGATCCCACGATAAAGCCAGAAGTGAGTTCAATGCAGTGACCCTGAGATTCATGACTTCTTAATCAAAAATTTGTTCACAGAAAAGTGTTTTCAAGAAGTTTGATATCTAAGAGCATACAGAATGAAAGTGAAAAGATTCAGTATTTTTAAGTGGAAAAGTAATACAATAAAACTACTTCCCATTTTCTAAATTATCACAGAGAGAAGTCATCAATAGTTGGCACTTCTACTTAGTTTAGAGAGCACTCAAGTGGAAGAAATGCTGAACAGACAGTGGAAAGAAGAGAATGAACACTGAGAGATGGGGTAAATATTGAAGTGAAAATGTGCACACAGAGGGGTGAAACAAACTTGATGTTTCTCTTGCATTCTGATGGTTGACTGATTTCTTCTTTTAATAATAGACACCAAAATTTACTGCAGCAGAGAGAGAGGCAGCCAGGGAGAGAGCGTGCCTGGTCTACAGCAGATGCTGATATTTTTTTTTTAAGATTTATTTTCAAGAGTTACAGAGAAAAATGGAGAGAGAGAGAGGCCTTCCATCCGCTGGTTCACTCTCCAAATGGCCTCAACAACTGGAGCTGAACCCATCCAAAGCCAGGAGACAGGAGCTTCTTCCAGGTCTCTCACATGAGTGCAGGGGCTCAAGCACTTGGACCATTCTCCACTACTCTCCCAGGTGCATCAGCAGGGAGCTGGATGGGAAGTGGAACAGCTGGGACATGAACTGGCACCCACATGTGATGCAGGCACTGCAGGCCAGGGCTTTAACCAACTGTGCCACAGCACTCCCCACCCCACCCCCACTCCCACAGATACTGATTCTATACTAGTCACCTGAAGAGCAACTCAGGCAGGTCTCATTACGACCACCACCAATGGGAAAAGCCAATCCCATGCAGTAAGAAATGCTGCCACTGACTCTCAGATTGGTCATACAGTTGCCAAGAATGTACCTGGGATACGATTATTCCTCCTTTTTTTCATATGTGTGCATCTTTATTTCCAAAAGCCGCAAGTCCATCTGGGAGAACCCATTCTACTCCTTGAAGTCAGCAGATGAGGTTGCATTTGAAGCCAGGTGGAATGGAGGAACATCTGCATTTGGGAGCTGAATGGGGCCTGATCCCTTCCTGTCAACAGAAGAGTTATGGCAGCTCCTGCAGGGCTACCCTAGGAAGTATGCGCATCTGGGATTTAATGGACACTCAAGCAATTTACCTTTAAGCTCTGGATTGTTGTTCAAATGTTAGCAGTGAGCCTCATCCAGGTGTCATGGGGTGGTCGTGAAGGATGATTGAGAAAAATAAAATCCTTGACCTAGATATTTCCAAACTAGTTATTTCTATGTTGTAGAATGTTTGCCTTTGAAATGACTGAGCTACTAAGTTTTATTCTGATGAGATCAATATATCCAAATATTGCTTCTAGCCCTGTGATGCTCAGCATATGATGAAGACTGGAAATTTCAGCCTTCCACCAGGAACAGAGAATGCCAAGGAATTGCTGGTCATGTTCTGAAGGAGCAGATGCAACCCTGAGTCCTTCCAGAGTTTGTTATTATATGTCAGATACTATGAAAGACTACAGATGAATAAGTACAATATCCCTCTCCTAAAGGAAATCAGATCAAGTAACTGTAATACCCTGTAACAGGTTAGGATAGAGATGTGGAATATAAAAAAAATAGCACGGTGGGGTTGGCACTTTGATGTATTAGCTTAAGTCTCTGCCTTTGGTGTCTTCATCCCATATGGGGCCAGTTTGTGTCCCTGATGCTTCTCTTCCAATCCAGCTCTCTGCTTATGGCCTGGTAGAGCAGTGGAAAATGGTCCAAGTGCTTAAGCCCTTACACGCATGTGGGAGACCTGGAAGAAGTTCCTGGTTCCTGGCTTTGGATTGGCTCAGCTCTGGCCATTGCAGCCCTTTGGGGAGTGGACCAGAGGATAAAAGACCTCTCTCTCTCTCTCTCTCTCTCTCTCTCTCTGTGTGTGTGTGTGTGTGTGTGTGTGTGTGTCTTTCCCTCTCTCTGTCTGTAATTCTGCCTCTCAAATAAAAAAATAAATCTTTAACAAAATAACATGGCAAAATTCTATCTTTCATCCAGCAAGTATTTATTAAGAACCCACACGTGTCAAGTACTGTTCTGTCACTAGGAGTCCTGCCCAATAGAATTTTCCAAAGAAATAAAATTCAGCACATTTTCAGGAGAAAAGAACAAGGTTTAGGGAAAGCTATTAGGAGGAAAGGCGCTGAGCTGGGTTCTGTAATCTCCAATAAGGTGACCATCAGAAAATAGCAAACCATAATACTTTTGAAAATCTGAAACAGCATATATGGGGACTGGCATTGTGGCACAGCATGTTAGGCCACAGTCTGCAATAGTAGCATCCCATATTGGAGTGCTGATTTGCATTCCCAAGTACTCTGCTTGCATTCCAGTTTCCTGGTGAAGTCCCTGAGAAAGCAGTGGAGGATGGGCTGAGTACTTCAGCCCATGCCATCCACAAGGGAAACCCAGATGAAGTTCTGGGTCCCTGGCTTGGGCCAAAACAGTCTAAGCCATTGCAACCACTTGGGGAATGAGCCAGAGGATGGAACATCTGTGCTTGTGAGAGAGAGAGGGAGAGAAAGAAAGAGAAAGAGAGAAAGAGAGAGAGAGAGACTCTGTCTTTTAAACCAACCAACAAATAAATCTTTCTTTATTAAAAAGAGTATATATAGGGGCCAGTGCTGTGACATAATAAGTTGGTTAAGCCTCCATCTGTGGAGCTGGCATCCCATATGGGCACCAGTTTGTGTTCTGATTGTTCCTCTTCCAGTCCAGCTCTCTGCTAATGGCCTGGGAAAGCAGTGGAAGATGGTCCAAGTGCTTGGGCCCCTGCACCCATGGGGAAGACCTGGAAGAAGCTGTAGCTCCTGACTGCACTGGCCCAGCTCCAGCCAATGCGGCCATTTTGGGAGTGAACCAGTGGATGGAAGACCTCTGTTCTTTCTTTCTTTCTTTCTCTCTTTCTTTCTCTCTCTCTCTCTCTCTCTCTCTCTCTGTCTTTGCCTCTCAAATAAATACACAAATCTTAAAAAAAAATATATGGTGCCAACTAAGGGAGGCAGTATTTGATATGGTTAGTGAAGTAATTTCTCTCTACTATTGGTAACTTTATCAAAATATTAACTTTATTAGCTATATGTTAACATTGTTATTGCTTAATACATTAACATTGTTACTCATAAGAAAGCACATCAGGTTTTAATATATTTAATGTATATATTAAAAGGATGGGAGCATTGTGAGAAAACAACAGTAAAACATAACTTCTTTGACAAACCTTCTAAAGACCATAAAGCTGCTTTCCTGTCCTCGCAGACTGCGTGTGCAGTAGTGGTTCAACCATGACCATATGCTGCAAACCTGCAATCGTGATTCCCTTGATTTCAGTGAGAGGAGCTCCCTCCCCCGATGATCCTTCTGTCTTGGATCCAACACGCACACTTTTTGGTGCCACTCTCAATGTTACATATCTGTGGTAGGAAATATCAAACTAGTTGAAGTTTCTCAATTGACCACATGCCTTTACTGAAAAGTAGACTTTGTCCGTAATTTTCAAAGGACTTGGTGGCTCAAGTGAGATTAAGCTGCCTTTAAAATTGCCATGAAGTGGCTCTTACTCATAAGTTCACTGAGGATGGGTTCTTGGAAACCTCACATTCTCTCAGGACTGTGGATATGAAATTATCTACCCACAGCAATAATAAACTAAACAGTGAAAGCCATTAAGAAGTGTAAGAGTGATAGGAAGTCTTTTAAATCCAGTTTCTCTGCAGTCAGAGTCAACAGACCTGGTGACTTCTCCAAGCCCCAGTGTCTCCCAGAATCAGGGCAGGCTTACTAAGCCCATTTCAAACGGGAATGCAGAAGATATCAGAGAGATGACTTCTAATTACAAAGATTAGCCAGTAATTGGTACTTCCCTTTTCTTCAACCTTCTTGCAACCGCTAATGAACATAGCCACTTTCCATAAATTAAAAAAATACAGGTTTCATATCATGAGTATATTCATCATCTGTGTTTACATTTAGTATTTAAACAAACTTATCATGGCCTTTTTCATTTATGAGAAAGTAGATAAAGGTATAAAACTGTCCCAACTGATAAATAACCATCTCTCTTTTATCTCAAAGCCTTTCTTTTTGGAGATGGAGACCAAAGAAAATGTAATTACCTTTGCACGATTTT